CCTGCTGGACAGCCTGTTATCCCAATTATGGAGCCGTCCTAATTATCCGAAGACATCCTGCTTCTAAGCTCAGCAGGGGTTGTAGCCACCGGATTGTACGAGCTCTGAAGCGCCTAAGCTCCACGCCTGTTCCTGGGGAGCTCAGAAGCCCAGCAGGGACTGGGGGTGCTGCGGGAGCAATCCATTTTGTATTCAGTGGGAGCATCTGCCTCCCAGATAAACAGCGGCGCTATCAGCCAGCACTGCTCACTGGGAGGAAATCAGCTCCATTAGCTGTAGAAGTCCTGACTGCCCGTCAGAACTGGCATGTGCTGCATGTAGACACATCTGCATATTGCATACAGCTTCTATGGGCTAAATCAGCTCAGCGAAGTAAGGGCTGTAGCAGGCCCTGGATGCTCCCAAGCAGGGACGGTTGTGCTGCATAGGCAGGGAAAGGGTGCCGAGAGACTGGCGTGGGTGCTGTGGCAGCCTCCTCAAATTACCCCAGGGGGCAGGGGAAGGATCTGGGGCTAGTGCCGATCTACAGCTATGTGGATGCAATCCACCTCCTGTGTTTGGCAGGGGTGCCACCCTCACTTTGCAGAGTCCCTTGTGCAAGGCTTGTTCACGTGGGGTTTGCAATTGGGGGAAGAAGATCTGAGCTGCCAGTCTGCCAGTTCTTTGGGCACCTCTAGGATGAAGGGCCTTGTATAACTATTCCGTGGGGCTAGCGTCATGGTGCTTGATCTTTGCATGTAGCCCTTAGCACTGATTCACCGAGGCCATAATTGGCTCTGCACCCCCTTGTGCCGTGCTGGATTTGTCTGTCCCTGTTTGGCTGCGCTCGCCACGTTGGCTTCTGTTTCCAGTGTGATGGCCAGGCTGCTCCTGGTGTGTTGATTTGTGTGGGGGTTGCCACTGCTTGCTCCCAGGAAGCCCTGTTTATGGCCCCCAGTCTGCAAAGATGCATGGATGCACTTGAAATTGTAACACACGAGAGCTGAAGAAGGGTAGGAACATTTCTCTCATCAGTCGATCCATTTCCCTTACCTGGCTGAGCTGGGAGATCTTCCCTTTTCTCCAATGTGGTCTCCCAGCACACTGATCCTGCCATGAGGAGATACCCCGTGCGGCCGCACGGGGGTATCTGCAGAGGCTGCCACAGCACCCAGCTCATGCTGGTCTCTCTGCACCCTCTCTCTGCCTGTGCAGGAGAACTGTCCCTGTTTGGGTGTATCCAAGGCCTCCCACGGCCCTTCCCAGACTCAGCTGATTGGGGCCCTGAGAATGTTGAGCTTGGGTGAGAGTTACAGGCTGGGTGCAAGCCGCTCAGCACGTAGGTGTGCAAAACAAGTGTGACTTCCACACCAAGGGGGTGGTGGAGGGAGGGGCAGCAGGAAAAGCAGTAACAGGAGGGCGTAAGATAAGGAGGCTGGGTGACTTTATCTCACATCCTCTTGTTAGATGCTTTTCCTGCTTCGCTCCCCTCCGGGCCCCTGGCATGCCAGTTACAGGCGTTTTTGCAATAAAGGTGCAACACCCCAGAGTGCTGCTGGAGAGAGACTTGCCTGGGACCCACTGACTGCAGCAGCGGCGGTTATGGCTTTGCACGCTGACTCAGTGCCAGATTGGTGCAAGATACCCTACTTCATCCCTTACGTGCATCCTCTCACCACCTTTTATGTCACTGCTGACTTTGGCCCATAGATTTCCATGGGAGCTGCACCAGTTTACCTGAGCTGGTCCTGTCATTGCTGCAGCAGTGCTAATATCCTACATTTTAGCCTTCTCCATATCTCAGGCCCACCCCTTCTAGCTAGCCAGGATCCCCCTCCCATTTACTAACATAGGGGGAGGGGACAGGGCAGCCACAATGCCCTGACCCCTGGTTGTGACCTCCAGGCTGAAAGGCTACATAGCTGCTCGTTACATTACAACATGCAAGTGCTGAAGAAAGGGATAATAGTACAGTGGTAGGAACATTTCTCTTATGAGTCAAGGCATTTCCCTTATTAGGGTGAGATGGGACCTCTTCCCTTTCCTCTAGTATGATCTCCCGGCGCACTGATCTTGCCAGGAGGAGATACAGATTTCACTTTAGAGCTGGTTCCGCTGTGTCTGGGTGACTGTCCTTTGGCAGAGAGGTCATGTAATGTGGGAAGACTGTATGATCCTGTATTTGCAAGCCTCTTCCCTTTAATTACTGCAGGCCCACAGAGAGATTTAAACACTCTGTAGCTGGGTCAGGCCATGCAGTCGTATTGAATAAGATGTTCGCTGCAGAACACCTAGAAGAAAGGGAGGAATGACGGATAGACAAGAGCAGGGAGAAGCGTGCCAAAGAGATAACGCAGCTGTCACTCTTGGCGCTGGGAATAATCAGGGCTTGTTGGTTTAAGGCAGATGAGACGCCACATTGTGACGCCAAATGGGCCAGGCTGGGCGGGTTTGTGTGGCTCAGGCCCTGAGGCAGTGGTGGGGGGGCATTGTCAGTGCAGGGGTGTTAGCCACCAGTGTGCCTGGATGGGCCATAGCCCATCCACTTAGCATCCATGCCCACTCCCGCAGCCCTGGCTCTGCTCCGGCCCCAGTGCTTACCCTGCTCCGCCCGGAACTCCATCTGGGAAGTGGAGTCGGAGCGCAGGGGCTTACCCCTCTCAGCCTGCCTGGCGCTCCATCCGGGGAAAGGGGTCAGGGGCTTGTCCTGCTCCGCTCGCCCGCCCAGCGCTCCATCCGGGGAGCAGGGTTGGGGCACGAAGGCTTGGCCACTGGAGCACCAAGTGGGTGGGCTGAGCGGGGCAAGTCGCTATGCCCTGAACCCACTCCCCGGGTGCGTGCCTTGGCCCCAGGGGGCCCCTGGCCAGCGTGTCCATTGCCCCACGCAAGGCCAGCTGGGGACGGTGGGCGGGAAGCAGCCCTGATCCCTCCTGCTCCCCCTCCCCTGCCCCCTGTCATTGCTGATCCACCCGAAATCAGGGCTCACCCAAGTGTCCCGTCCTGCTACGCCACCTTTTCTGAACAGCTGGGCAGGAGGTCATCGTGGCCCTTGAGCACCACAGGTCGGTTCTGATAGGCCAGTGTGGATAAAGTGCTGTCGGTGGGAGCTGCTGGGCCTGTCCAGTGGCTGAGACCCCTGAGGAGGGCCATGGCCAACCTCCAGCTCAGGAAGCGATGGCCCCGTGGCCCTGCAGCCGGCTTGGTGGGTGGCATGTGGACTTGATGCCCCTAAGCTTTTCTCATCTAAAGCCTGATTACTCTGGCTTTGTGCCCGTTGGGTGCGGGGGGCGAACTTTGCACTAATGAGTCTCCCTGCAGCCAAGCTGGGCCCTGACCTCCCTGTTTGCGGGAGCAGGTTGGGCCTGCGGAATTTGCACCAGCACATTTGCCCCCCGTAGAATGGGTTGTGGGCACAGTTCTGAGCGGCTCCTCCTCCCACTCTCCTCCAGCTGGGCGCCCGGCAGGCGAGTGCTCTGACTTGTGCCCGCTGCGGTATTGCAGTGACCTAGACATGGGAACTACCCAGGGGAGGCCACCCTTCAGGAAACGTACCCGGGCACTCAATGCTGAGGGTAGCAGTACCAGGACCGCCTTACACAGCAAGGAGGAACGCAGCTGGAGGCAGTGGGGCTACACTGGTGTAGGTGAGATCAGAATCAGGCCCATGTGGCCATAGGAAGCTTCTCCGATTGGCTTTGCTGTCTGCAGACTGATTCACTATAGCAGGGTTTTCAAACTGCATTGCATCGTGACACATTTCTGACAACAAAACTTACTACACGACCCCAGGATGGGGGACAGAAGTCTGAGCCTGCCTGAGCCCCACCACCCTGGGTGTGGGGGGACCAAAACCCTGCTGCCCTGGGCAGGGGGCCTGTAATCTGAGCCCCAACACCCAGGGCTGAAGCCCTCAGACTTCAGCTTTAGCCCTGGGCCCCAGCAAGTCTAACACCAGCCCTGGTGACCCCGTTAAAATGGGGTTGCGACCTACTTTGGGGTCCTGACCCACAGTTTGAGGACCACTTCACTAGAGGGATTACACCAGCTCAGTGTAGGCTAAACCTCTGGGGTCTGCTATACAGAATGGAGAGGGACGTTCTCATCAGGAGAGGGACGTTCTCATCACGGGACGGTCTCGTCACTTTCCTCTCTGCCTCCCAAGGCAAGCATTCATTCTTAAAAAAAAAAAAAAGAAAGAAGAAGAAGCAGCAATCCCCCCTGCAGCTACAGGAACTCCTCGAGCAGCAGCAACGCTCGGGCAGTGATTGAGGACACGAGAGGGAGTCAGGCCAGAAACACAGACTGACCCATTTAGTCGCTGCCTGAGCTGGGTGAGACAAGGGAAAATGAATCCGCATAAATGGTGAAAACAGATTAGATTGCTGGGGCCTGGTTCTCTTCTCACACCAGCTGTACCCTAGTGCAATGCCATTGGGCCAGTCCCTGGCTCTGACCTGGCAACCTCAAGTCCGGCATTAAGAGAAATCTGTCTGTTTGGGTATGTGGCTAGGAAAAAGAGGGCATGGACAAGATGCCACTGTGTCTGACTGATCCTCAGCTGCAGGGACGGCTGCTGGGGATGTGGGAAGGAAATAGATTCAGTGGTGCTCTAGGGACTAGGCTAGCAGCCTCAGAATCAGGGCAGCACAAAGATGACTTAAAGTCATCTTTCCTCACTTCACGGACCTGTGCCGAACACTGCTCAGCTGGAGGAGAGGATCTGGGCTGCTGGCTTCGGCAGGGTTCCTCCTCATTTCCCCCAGTGGGAAAGGGGAATCAGATCCTTGGCGCATTAGCAGTGCAGAGTGCTGCTAGTCCGCCAGGCCAGGCCGTTCCTTTGAAATCCATGATGGTGACCCTTTAAACGTAACAGCGTAGAGTAACTGATCCCAGTCTAGGTCCGTGCCCCGTCGGTTCATTGTTAGTGGAGCTGAGGCTTTCATTGCAGGGAGCTGGAGAGTGGCTTTGGAAAGCACGGTCACTTGTGCCACTGCTAACTGTCTATTGTTTTCTACTTCCAGAGCTGTATGTTTTGTACCAGCACCGCAGACGATGTCCCTGCATTGACGTTGCCCTGAAGACTCCTGCAGCAGCATTGGAAGGATTCCCCTGTTGATTATAATTATTTCAGTTTTTGGTGGTTGGTTGGTTAGTTGCTGCGGCGAGTGGGGTTTGGTTTTTGGTTTGGTTCTGGTTTTTTTAACACCATGTCTAATTCTGGCGCCCCTCAAGACGCTGGTAACAAGCCCAACATGTTGGACAGAAATAACCAAGAGGACTCGCAACCCCCTGTCAACTCCGAGAGGAGGAACAAAAGTGGGATCATAAGTGAACCTTTGAACAAAAGTCTTAAGAAATCGCGTCCGCTCTCCCACTACTCCACCTTCAGCAGCAGCAGCTTGGTAAGCGAACATTCAGAGAAAGGAACCTCCTTAGCTAATGGCAATGAAGCAACAACTGTGGATAAAAGTCACTCTACCTCAAAGCACAAAAACATCTCTAGTATGCTGAGCAAATCAGACAGGGCGTCAGAAATCTCATCAGAAGGACAGATCAGCCTACAACAGTTTGCTCAGTCTACAGATATGCTCAAAAGAGTGGTACAGGAGCACATTCCTTTACCAAATGACCACGGGACTGGTATCTCTGATATGGAAGCGGTCTCAGCTGCAGAGACAATGAACAGCCCATCTGATTTTCCTTACCTGGGGGCTTTTCCCATAAACCCAGGCCTTTTCATTATGACCCCTGCTGGCGTGTTTCTGGCAGAGAGCGCGCTCCATATGGCTGGCTTGGCAGAGTACCCGATGCAGAATGAATTGGCATCTGCCATCAATTCTGGGAAAAAGAAACGGAAAAGATGTGGCATGTGCCCTCCGTGCCGAAGACGGATAAACTGCGAGCAGTGCAGCAGTTGTAGGAATCGCAAAACTGGCCACCAGATTTGCAAATTCCGAAAATGTGAGGAACTCAAAAAGAAGCCGTCTGCAGCGCTGGAGGTAACTGGCTGTAGTCCGACATCCTAACCTTTCTCTTGGTCTGCTGTCCTTTGGATGTTGATAGAGATGATAAAATCCTGGGGCTTTTTTCTTCTTCTTAACAATTCCTGCCTTTAGCATCACACACAAATTGTCAGCGATCCCCTCATGCTGATCGACTATATTCTGATTAGTAATTAGCAGTAATATCACCTGAAATAGGTCTTGCCATTATGATTACAATCCTCTGTAGATTTGTATCCTTTCTATTGACTCCTGTAGGGGCTTTTGAGTTTTATAACAGGGGGAGTGTCTCACTATTGTACCTACCAGCTAGCTAGCCATTGCTTAGTACAATTCCTTGAGCCAGTAAGTGAATCATGGGATGAGGGCCTGATCCAAAGCCTTCTGAAGTCAGTGGTAGTCTTTTCGTAGACAGCAGTGGGTTTTGGAGCAGGACCTAAATTCTTGGCTTTTCATGGCAGGTCTCAAGGCAGTTACCCTGCCATTATCAATCCGTTAAACCTGTTTTTCCAAACTAGTGTTCCACTGTAAGTCATTAGTTTGCCCCTTGTTCTGAAAGGGAAGAAACAGGCTGTGGTTAATTCCTATGAAAATGATTGTGCTGTGTGCAAATTGTTAGGGGATGAGCTCTTGAAAGTTGGTGTGATCAACTGGGGAATGGCCACTTCATTTGGGAAACATGTCCAGTGCTGAGACAACCTAAGCTTACCTAGGGCTAGATTCTGAGCTTGATGACACCAATATGAATCCATTGAAGGAAGAGGAGTTACTCCAGATATACACTGGTGTAACTGGGAATGGAATCTGGCCCCTGATCTTTCCTTTTTTTATGTCTGGACTGTGGGCCAGGTCTGATAGGCTTCCTCAGTGTCCAGTACTGGAGCATGCTGGGTGTCTCCTGGGAGCTGCTGTCAGCCAGCAGAATCCAGTGAGAATCCAGGGTGTTCTGCTCCTTTCAGGATTGGGTCCTTAATCTTTACTTGGGCAAATGCTCTTTAAGATCACTGGGAGTTTAGTCTGAGTAAGGACTGCAGGATTCAGTGCTAGAAAAGAGCTGCCCAAACATATCCTGCTGGCTTGTGAAGCTGATTCCTGATGGAGTGCTAGTGCAGGGCAGATGGGTTATTAATTTGGAGCCCATATGCAAGGCAGCATGGATTGAGTTATCAGACGTGCCTGAAATTCAACCAGAGCCTTGTGGAGCAAGGTCAGAACTCAGTTGTTCCCAGTAAACTTCAGCATAAATTATGTGAAAAGTTAGGCGTGAGTTAGGAGCATACAGTGCCTCTGGGCATGTTTCAGACATGAGATGACAATGGACTACTGTGCTTTATTAACGCCAACATGTATGCATCTATTCACTACTTTATCCATCCCTTAAATGAGGAAAGGTCAATAAAATTGGGGCTTGGGGGAATCCCTGGCGTGGGCGTTTTGTATCATCAGATGCTCTTCCCATAAATCTATCTCTGTATTTTGGCTTTTTAAAATAAAATCTCCTAGCCATCGGGTGACCAGGGCTTCTGATGTTCAGCTGTGGGAGGACAGTTCACCCGCAGTCCAGTTTCTCGCTTGAATTTGAAATCCCAGAAGACCTGTTGTTTGGAAACGTTCTGTTGACCAGAGATGTTTTCTGATTCCCATGCGTTAGTTTTGTTTTGGTGGGGATGTGTGTTACACTTTATAAAGCCCTAGCACAAAAGCGATGTAGGTAGCAACAAAAGCAATCCCTTGCATGTCAAAGATACAACCTTGACCTGGAAGAGCTGTGTGGATACGAGGGAAATGAATCTCCCCGTTGCTTCTTGAGCAGAAATGGCTAAAGCGTGAGTGAGTGTTCTGTGCTGGGAGTAGTGACCACTTTTGGCTGGGCTGAGTCCTCTGAACAAAGTCCTCTGTATATTCCATTTAATTCACGATCGATTTTTGGTAGCTTGACCACCGCTCAGGCTGTGTGCCTTCCTCCTGCTGCTGAAGATTGCTCCTGTGAAGCCAACAAAGGTTAAAAACACCTCAACCTCAGCGGAGGCAGCAAGATGTTGTACCAGGTTGCAAGGGTATTATGCAACCTCTGACGTCTTCTGAAGGAGAGAACTTACTGTTTTCTTAGCCACGTTCTAAGTTTTCAATTAGCATCAGATCTGAATGAATAGTGAAGGGGAAAAAAATCTATTTGGGTGGTGGGGTTAGGGCGGGACTGGTGTCTTTCAAAAACCGCTGTATTGCTAAATTATATTCTTGTTCTAATTTGCTGAGTCAGTGATCTGGAAAAAGGGAGAGGGGAAAAAAAAGTTCATTTCTTCTGAAGAGTCCTAAAGCAGGTCAATTGATTCCACAGCTCACATTAGGTTGAAGAGGGTTTTCTTCCTGCAGTATGAATTATATGGAAGTTAAATTGCATGGGAAGCCCTTCGAAAGCTCACCCGTTTGATTTGTTTCCTGTTCTACGGCTGACTGGGAAATCGGACTTTTAATTTATGATTTGGGGCCTCTGAGTGGACGAGTCACTTTCTTTTCCGAGTGAATTTGGAATAACGCATAGATGTAGAATAGGTGACTCAACAGGAATTCCAGATGTGGTTAGGCAGAAATGGATTGATAGCTGTCATTGGCTCTAAAGTTTCAGGTAAGATTCCATCCTTTGGAGAACTAAGGAACTTACAGTCACCAAAATAGGGCAAAACCTCAAATGCTGTACATTTATGGCCACTCTTTCCATGACATCGCCCCAGAAACTGCATTCTCATTCACACTGCTCACCTAGTTGGCAGTCCATGTGCGTAGGTAGGTGAAGACAGGGTGGCAGACTGTGAGCTGTGCCAGTGGGAGATGCAGTTCTCATGCTCTTTAAGGCGATCCAGTGTATTCTTCCACTCACTGGAGCCTGGTGGAGCTGAGGGCTGTGGACACTACAGATCTCAGCCTCTTCTGAAACTTTCATTATTTATCTCTTTCCTGATGAAAATATCCTCCTCTTAGACTTTGTCATCTCCATAAAGTCAGACAAATTTGGGAAGTCACCTGTGTTTCGGCACAATTTATTGGTGATTAAATCTTCACCAACTTCAGCTGTCACCGCTGGCCAAAGCACTGCAACAAATTCATGCAACATCACTGTGTCCTGCTCAGTTTCTTGGCTCGATAGCACCCCCTGGAGGTGGTCATGACTCCTGTTTTGAGAGCAGAGGCATTGCTGATGGTCTCTGTGCCCCAACAGCTGTTTCTCCATTGCTGGTGACGGCTAGACAAGGATGTGTTGTCCCGATGTTATTCTTGTGTGTCCCAATGTTATTCTTCAAAAATCTCTCAAGAGCCACACTTCCTCCCTTTCTGATCTGGCTGGGGAAACACTGGAGAACATACTCACATACGTTCATTTGAACAAACTCTGTGAATCCAGTTCAACGGCATCCATAACATTCTCTTTTAATTTTTGGTGACCTTTGGGCACCTCCGCCTTGTACAAGAATGTGTGTGGAAGTTTCAGGTCTCTTGTGAATACGAGTGCAAATATGTGGCCATCTTGAAATCTCTTTGAGTCGCCTCTCCTGTTGTACAAAAGGTTCTGTTATCCAATCAGGGAACAGAAACAAGACCATGTGACCTAGATGACCATTCACACATGCCAAAGGGCAAATAGAGAGAGGGAGTGAAGGGTTAGAGATCAGCCCATTGCCTGGGATATGTTCGTTCATGGTAGAGTTCAAACAGCTCTGAATAACAACCAATTGTAAAAAGCCTCCAGCTCAATGCCTGGTGCACACAGGTCTGATTCACTGCGACCTGAAGTGAGTTGGGCTCTGCCCAGGCACTGGCTTGCTCAATAGATGAGTCTAAGCACTTACATGACTCATTCATCATCTTCCTTCTCTATACAGAGCCCCATCCTGAGAGGGGTTGAGTACGTACTTAGCACACACAACTACTGTGGGGAGTCAGGGGTGCTTGGCACCTCTCCAGATTGGGTCTCTTATAACCTTTCCAGACTCATCTTTGACCTGGAACTTCTTAATTTTCCTGATCTTTCTAGCACCTGTATTCCTCCAAACAAAGCCCTGAATTGGCCTTTCAGATCGGCACACCTGGCCCCCGGTTCAGTATTATCAGCTGAGCTGCTCCAAACATTATGTTCCGCAGAGCAGGCTGAATGCTGGAGGTGAGAGAGACCCCTGGGATCTTGGCACTTTAGGTGCCTCTCCTGCCCATGTAGAAACCTGGGCCTGCTGTGCACTGGGAGTGTGTCCATGTACCATGGGTCAGCATGGCGGTGCACTGCCAGGCTTCAATTTGGGCAGGCAGCCCCTCAGTCCAGAGCCCTTAGGAACGAGGCAATGCAGGGCATGGGCAGAATGTTTAAAGGCGTATCTTCACTAAGAGACACGACCTCCCTGACTCCATGCCATCTGTGGCCCCCGTGACTCCTCTTGATTGCACCGGTGTCCCCAGCAGCATAAGGCCCGTGTGGGGTGTCAGTGAAAGTCAATCCCTCGGGAGGGTGGGGGGGAGTCATGCACCTCCTGAGCTATCTGTAGAGCTGGCTTTTGGGACCCTGGTAAGCTCATGGCCCAGGCTTCAGAACCACATTGGTCCCCTGTTTTGTGAGATGACTTTAATTCGAAGGGGTCACCAGCTGTCTGAACGTGCTGGTGGGGGCTGTGCTAGCTCTGCTGAACAGAGAGCAGCAGGTCCAAACCCAGGGAAAGACCTGCCATGCCCATTTTGCCTGGCCACCAAGTGGTGGGATGGAGGGCAGTAGCCATCCCTAGCCATAGGAAGAGAGAGTAGGTAAAGGAAAGCGTTTGGGGAAGGAGGGGAGAAAGACGGAGACTAACGTCCTGGAGAGCCCCCAGATCCTAGTGCCAGGCTTGGCTGTCTGCTGCTTTTCGTAAACCCAGCCATGCAGTGATTCTGGGCTGCAGAGCACGAGGCCTGGGTTTGATCCCACAGCCCTGTCTCTTGCCCTCTAGGCTGATAGGGACTGGGAGCGATAGGATTGC